ACTCCATCTTTATGTACACAGGTCTTGATTAAAGGCAGAGGAGACTACTTAAGAGTGAGCAAAAGAAGCTGGTGTGTGTGCAGAGCAGTTTAATAAAGTTACTGTGAGATTAAACTGTGTGCACCCCCTAAACTCTCCATTTCTCTGTCACTTTGCTGGATTGTGGCTAGAGTTTCTGGGACCAGAGCAACTGGAACCAGCAAACTTTAGGTTTTGATTTTCCCCTGTCTCTCACCATATTTTGCCATTTGTAGCTGTGCAAAATGGGTACAAAGTGCTGCTTTGATGATGGGAGATTTGAACCCTAGAACCATGACTGTGAAAGGACCTGTCTTAAATGTTCTTACAATGTGTTATGTCAATGGGACCTAACTGACCATGTCGCTTGACTGAAACTTTGTACTGCTCAGGGCCTTTGGACTTTCAGTTTTGAGTCTCTTTGAAGTCCTGTCTACACTACACTTCTTAATAATATGATAACAAGATCCTCTGACTTGGTTAGAGGCGTATGGAGTGGCTGACCTCTCAGACACTGGGCAATATTAACAACCTCATGGGCATTCCAAACTCACTCCAACTGGCCTTCTTTTGCCCAGAATAAACTGAGAATCTTTCAGTTTGTATAAATCATTGGATGAAACTCAGGCACAGTATACTTCTCTTCAAAGTTCATTAGTGTCTCCACTTCTCTCTTCCAGCCCCACCAGCTCTGAAGCTATCAGTCAATGAGACCCTGGTGGTGAACCCTGGAGATAACATCACTATACAGTGCTCCCTCACTGGTGGTGATCCACTGCCTGAGGTGGTCTGGTCTCACTCACCCAGTCCTATGCCTCAAAACAGTCTTGTTCAAGGAGGCAATCTCACCATCTGGAGGATCCGTGTGGAAGATTCAGGTTATTATAATTGCACGGCCATCAACAACGTGGGAAACCCAGCCAAGAAGACAGTGAACCTGCTGGTGCGATGTACGTCCTTTCATAGCATACACTTTCAGGGAAGGGAGCCAGGGTTCCCAGTCCTCTTACTTGTATTCAGTTATATGTGGGGTTTAACTCAGCAAAGGGTTGGTATGGAGGTACTATACTTGTTGCCCCACCTACAGCTTGCCAATACCTGTCACTCCTGACTTTCAGCATATGCTGCTATTCCAGCCTTTGGCTCCCCACAGATCTGTTGGTGCCCTCTGACTGTGACATGCAGTGCCAATCAGGCCTTGAAAACTGGGGGCTGTTACCTCTGAGGGGATCCCATTTGGGCAAAGGGTTGGGGGATCTCTTGATCTGGAGTGTGTGAGGCTATTGCTTGCTCTCGGGGCAAGGAGTAGCTGTCCCACACATATATGTCCTTTGAGAATGGGCCCTGTTTGCCTTCATTAACTGGCTTTGCACTTGTATTGACCCCAGCCATGAAGAATGTCACGTTCCAGATCACACCTGATGTGATCAAAGAGAGTGAGAGCATCCAGCTAGGGCAGGACCTGAAGCTTTCCTGCCATGTGGATGCTGTCCCCCAGGAGAAGGTTTTCTACTTCTGGTACAAGAACGGAAAGCCAGCCAGGATGTCAGACCGACTGCTCATCACCAGGAATGATCCTGAGCTCCCACCAGTGACTAGCAGCATGGAGATCATAGACTTGCGCTTTAGTGACTATGGCACATATTTGTGTGTGGCGTCCTTCCAGGGTGCACCCATTCCTGACCTCAGCGTTGAAGTGAACATCTCTTCAGAAACAGGTGAGCCTCTTCCATGGAGGCCTCTGGCTGTGAGGGAATTGGGCATGGGGCATAATGTGGGTCAGCATCACAAAAACAATTTGTCTCCTCTCTGGGCTTTTGAAGACCCTCAAATGGACACTGAATTCAAGAGAATATCATGGGGTTTAGTAGTGGCATGGGATTGCTAGTTATGTCTGTGCTGTCTGGTTTGTAATATCTCAAGAAGATCCCCTGCCCATGTTTCTACTTAGGAATGGACAGTGTGCATTTGGAAACACCCAACTGAAGCCCAGTCCAAGCCAACTTATATAACCTGAGGCTTAAAGAAGCCCCTGGCCAAGGGTTTATCAGGAAGGCAGACAAGGGGGTGAGACTTTATCAAATTTTCAAAGGTCATGGTAGGTGAGGGGATCCCACCTCTTGGCCTTTGCTTATAAGAGAATCTTAGTCTTTGCCCAAGTTTGAGATGGAATGACCCAGTCTGCAACCATGACAGTGCATGGAGGGACCTGTGTTTCATATAGTGCTTCATTCTCTGAATGCTTATTGTACTAAACACAGTCTGAAGAGTGCCTCTTCAATACTTCCTACAGGCACCCAGATGTAATACCTCTCATTCTCTTTTCCATTCCTTAAGGGAAATGCCAAAACTCTCCTGTTGGCTTTCAGTGGGGGCAGGATCAAGCCCTAAGTGTGTCAGTCGCTTCTGTAGTGTGACACAGAACACAGAGGATCAGGTCTTCTCTTGTTCTCCTAGCAAGCTGTTGGGTCACATTCTGCTCTCCATTGCATCAGTGCAGTCCCAGTGTCTCCACTGGGGATCACATTGGTGTGGCTGGGTTCTAGGCTAGGAACTAAATGGTAAGTGAGTATGAGGAAAATCAGCAGGCAGTAGAATATGTCTTGATGTTCTAAATGACTACAAGGAATTTCTGAAAACCTTACCATGTTTCACTCTTCCCAGTCCTGTCCATGAACTAAGTAGCTCCTCACCCTGTTTATACTCTTAGCAGGAAGAGCTGGAATTGCCTTATGATATTCTAAAAACCTCTGATTCTCCACAAAAAAATCCCTTGCAATCTAATTTGTAAAGAAATTCCCCAATGTTGTTGAATAACGTGGACCCTGAGGATTTCCCTTGGTCAGGGCTTTTCAGCATTAGTTAATGAGATTAACTAATTCACATGCCCT